AAATTAGAAAATGAAGACCTAAAGAAAATTTAAGGTAAGAGTGAGGGGAGAGAGGGAGAGACGTAGAATTTATGAAGGTATTAAAAAGGAGCAAGGATAAGTGGAAAGAAAAAGATCAAGACCGAGAAAAAGAGAGTGTTTGGGGAAATAAAGGAAGCAAGAGGGATTATTTTGCTTATATTTACCTTTTACAAACACTATTTGAAAAAGAAAAATCACTATGGCTACAATAACATGGACTCTGTTCAAAAAAAAAAAATAACAATAACATTGACTCTTGATAACTTCTAATAAACACATCAATAATCACTCTAATCTCTTTAGCTCCAATCTTTTTTATGTTGTATACTTAATCAACACTTTTATAACCAACCTCAATTAGAATTACGAGTTTTATTAATTGCTCAAGAAATGCAATGTTGTTATTACATATAGTGATTATGAAAGACAATCACAATTAAATTTCTCGAATTAATTTACGTGTGTGCTCCTACATCAAGCATAAAAGAATTTATATATCTCATACGGATAGAAAGTAAAAGGAGTTGATAGAAAGTGTGTTACGTTGTTTCGGATACAATCATTGTACCACTCCATATTTACCTACTTATGGAAAAATAGGAAGCAAATCATAGAGGAAAAATGGAAATGAAAAATCCAACCTTTGCACTTTTTTCTCCTAAAAAATCCAATCTTTATTTTATTTCTCAAAAATCCAACCTTTATACCCCACCTTCTCCAACCAATCCATTACCTGTTGATGACCAATATTTGTACGTTATGTACCACATGTAGGCCATTAATTGGTCACTTATTTTTTTAATTATTTAAAAACTAAAAAAATTAAAACAAAAAAATTCAGAAAAGCCAGCCCCACCTTCCTTCCCTGACCACCCTATCCCCATCGCCCATCGGATCCTAGCGACACCAGCAACACAATCACACCGCCACAACAGTCACAACCACCAATCAGCAAATCCAGCTCGACCACCGCCCAACTCTGTTTCCAACCTCCATTTCAGTAGCCCCGCAAACCACAACCACCAACTTTAAACCGCTCAGTCACCAACAATCACGATAAGCCAACAATAGAGCCCGAAATCCCAAACCAACCACCAATTAGGCTGCTGATGCACCTGCTCCAACCCACACCAATACCAAACCTTAACTCACATTACCAATCGATCATCCACCATCAATTGAAACCCACAACCACAGACTCCAAACCACCACTTACCTCACACAACAATTCTTCTCTTTCTTCTCTCTTCTTTGACAACCACCGCCAATCAATTCTTTTCCCTTGTAAAATTTGGTCGAGGTTGGTTTCCGGTGATTTTGGAGGGGTTTCGGATCTTGGTTGTGGCTGCAAATTGGGTGGGTTCGGGTTTCGAATTTTGGTGGTGGTGGTGACTGGGTTACGGGTTATGGTATTGGTGCGAGTTGTTATGGGTGGTTATGGTGGGATTTCGTGTCATGGTGGTGTTGAGAGTGGTTACGGGATGCATTGTGGTGGTGAGGGACTGGTTGACTAGTGTTGGTGGTGTACTGGCGGTGTACTCGGTATGGTGTTCTGGTTGTGTTGGTGGTGTATCGGTGGTATTGGTGGTGTATTGGTGGGTTGTTTCCATTTTTGAGGAGAGAGGAGTGAGAAAGGAAATCGAGAGAATTAAAAATTTTTTAACCTGTTTAACAGGTGTCAAATGGATATGTTGGAGAAGGTGGGGTATTAAGGTTGTATTTTTGTGGAATAAAATGAAGGTTGAATTAGGAGAAGAAATTGCAAAGATAATCATACAAATCAACTAATATATCTCTCCCAAAAAAAAAAAAAAAAAAAAAAAAAAAATTAAAATTCAAAGGTCAATAGTTAATAGTCAATTTTATGTAATATTAATCTTATTAGATCCTTGTTTCAAACAAAAAAAAATAAAAAAATCTTAGTAGATTCTTCATGAATCTTATTGGATTTTTGTTGATGTGTAGCAACAGATATAAATTGGCCAATAAAATTGACAATCACATAACATCTTTAAATCAAACAAAGTAACTGATAAACATATTGAAATTCATTTTTCAAAAGCACAATTATTCAGATGGCTAGAAATATATCATTTTTGTCTCTCATACTAGTGATACTAGTTATGTTTACAAGTGGTAAAAGTTAAAATTGATGGTTTTTTTTTTTTTTATTTTTTTTCTAAAATCCAAATTTTGATTGATAGGTAAAATGAGATTTTATTTATGATTGAGGATAAAACGTTTATTTTCAAATAAATAACTATTCTTGGATTTGAGAGTATATATAAAATTATGTACCTTTTCAATTTTAATTCATAAGTTATGGGAAATTTCGATTATCCGTATCATCTCAATGATACAATTAAGTAATTAAATATATTGTCTTCAATAAAAAAATTAATAAAAAGTAGTTAAATATATAATTTAAATCAATTTTAAGGTGTACAATTTCTTTTTTTCGAAATTTTTTTTTATGGAAGAATGGTATTACATTTATTAACTTGTATATAATTTATAAATGCAGGTACTAATGTTATGAGCTCAAGGTTAGCCAAAGTAATGGTTTTAAGAGCATGAATATTGGAGAGGATGGTTTTATCCTCTCTTTCATTCTCTCTCCTTACCCTATTTTGACACCTCATACTCTCTTTCATCCACCTCATTTTCCACTATCTCTTTCCTCTCTTCCATCCTCTTCCATTTATTTTTCCCACATAAAAGGGTATCCTCTCAATATATTTTATATATAAATATGGCCCCACCTTATTATTATTGATTATTTGTTATTGATTTCTTTAATGATAAAATCTAATAATAATAATAACATTAATAATAATAATAATAATAATAATAATAATAATAATAATAATTAGTATTCCATAATTAGCATACATAATTAAAATTACCATACTTTACCTACATTTTGATACAATAACACATGGAGTTAGGAATAAAAACACTAATTGATACACTAAAGTACAACAAATACAAGAAATTAAAGACAAATAACTAAATATCCTCATTTTTCCTTACCGACTACTAGTATGCCCAAATCTTGCCCACAAATGTTCTACCAAATCTTGTTTAAGTGACATATGAGTTTGTTTATTGAGGAGATTTTCTGGTGTAGCCATTAATGTGGTTAGATTAGGATTTTGGTAGCGCGGGGTTACGCTGAAAGTCGTTCCTCTTCGGTTTGAAGTTCCTGCTAAATACTCGGGTTGTTCAGTAGCAAACTCATTAGGATCCCAATAATTAAGATAACTTTCGCGCTCATCTTCCACGATCATATTGTGCATGATAATACACGCCATAACAATTTTCCACAACATTTCGACACTCCATGCCAAAGCAGGACGTCTTATAATGGCAAATCGAGCTTGCAACACTCCAAATGCACACTCTACATCTTTTCTAATACTCTCTTGTTTGGTAGTAAACAATCGTTGTTTAGGGGTTTGCGGTGCAGTTATTGCATCTATAAATGTTGCCCATTTTGGGTAGATCCCATCTGTGAGATAATACCCCTGATTGTAAGTATTTCAATTCACGGTAAACTGAATTTGTGGAATGTCGTCGAAGACGGGTGAACGTTGAAGGACATTTATATCATTGCAGGATCCAGGTGTACCAAAAAAGGCATGCCATATCCACAAATCACAAGATACAACAGCTTCTAAGATAACCGTCGCCGTTTTTGATCGCCCTTGATACATCCCTTTCCACCCCGCTGGACAATTTTTCCACTCCCAATGCATGCAATCGATACTTCCCAACATACCAGGAAAACCTCTTTCCTCTCCTTCTCTTAGAAGGCGATTCATATCTTCAGGGGTTGGTTTCCTCAAGTACTCTGCTGAGAATTCACGAATCACTCCGTCAACGAAGTGCGTGATACAATGTCTAGCCGTAGTTGCCCCAAGCTTGAGGTACTTGCAACTTGATCAGCTGCACAGCCATATGCTAACATCCTTATAGCCGCTGTGCACTTATGTATTGGAGAAGCACCTAAACGCATACTGGCATCTAGATGTTGTTGGAAAAATCGATCAGTTTCACTCAGTTGGTTCACTATCTTCATAAATAGAGGTTTCCGCATGCGAAATCTACGTCGAAACTTATCATCACCATACAATGGTTGTTCGCTGAAATAGTCAGCAACCAACTGATCATGTGCTGCTTCACGATTACGTGGTATAACTTCCCTTCGTTTTCTTTGACGTGGAACATCTTCTTCTTGTTGTTGCATGGTGGTGTTAACCACATATCTCAATGCATCTTCTATGATTTGTTGTTGCCGATTTTCCTCAATAAAATCAACCAACATGTAGTAATAGATTTCATCACTAGAAGTGGAAGAATTTGAATTACTACTCATTTTAAAATTATTAATATGTAGTTGTAGTTGTGATAGTAGAAGTGTTGTAAGTGAAATAGGTCAATTTATAGGCAATTGAGATAAAAGTTACAAAAAATAATTTGCAATCTGGTAAGATAAGATTTTTACCATAAGATATGATTTTCTAGCTGAAGATAAGATTTTTTAAACAGTGGATAAGATTTTTTAGAAGATAAAATGAGATTTTTTAACAGAGGATAAGATTTTTAGCAGAGGGATAGGATTTTTGGTAGATAAGGTCAGATTTTGTGGCAGATAAGTTTTCATATTTTGGCAGATAAAATGAGATTTTCTTACAGAGGATAAGATTTTTAGCAGAGGAATAAGATTTTTGGTAGATAAGATAGAAAATTACATGTTTTTTTTTATTAATAGAAACATAATATTATTACTCCAACACATAAGATTACAACATCTAATATCAAATAAAAATACAAACGATTAAAATTACTACTACGTACGATTACATCTTAAGTACTACAACAAATCTTAAACATAATGTTGTTAGATGAAAGATAAACTCTTGATACAAAAACTAAAAGATTAAATACGTAATACATAAAAAATAACTAGTACTTAACTAATATCTATAAAAAAACCTGTTACTAAACTCCTCTCTAAGCTTCTTGTACATTTCGACTTCAAATTCATCGAGGACAGGTTTTTCCATCAACGAACGTAACATGCTAAATTTCATCTCCTCCTCCTTTAGCTTTTTCCTATCTTCGCTCCTTTTACTTATCAAGTCGATCATTCGTTCTCCTTGATCAAGCCACTTATCACTAGTTTCGTCAAGAGTTGTGTTGAAAGCTTCAAGGTTTATCGATGTAGAAGAATTACTACCTTCTGCAGCTAAACTCTTTGATTTTTTTATACCCATAGGCCGCTTTTTTCCAGCACCCACACTTGATGATTCTGGTTCGGATCGTTTCCCACTTCCCTCGCTCTCCAAAGGAAGCTGTTGGACCATATGTGGGTCCCATTTAGGACAATTTTGCATTGTTTCAAAACAATGCATCAAAGTAAAGTGTTTTCCATGATTGAGTTTTGCATAATACTCATGGGCACGTTGGACAGCGTCTCCGCCTGAGTTTCCACTTTTCGGATGTCGTAGGATATAACTGTACGCCATAACCCATTTTGAAACCCATTTGTTGATAAAATCCCAACGTTGTTGCATGGACTTAATGGTCCGTTCTTTTATCTCTTCAAGGTTCTCTACCCGTGCCCTCTTCGTATAACTTCCCAATTGCAGCCCATAAACCGGCTTTAGTTCGTTTCGTATTTATGGTAACATTCCCACCGGCATTGATGTAGCCTGAAACAAGCGCCTTATACTCAGCTATACTCCATGCACTAGCTTTTTTATCATTGAGGTCTTCTCCGGTAATGTCAACAACATCATCATCGAGATCTTCTAGATGTTGCGCTTCCCGTACATCTTCTGTTGAGAAGCAGTGCTACTAACATTTACTCCTGGAGATTGATCCATGGGTTGGATAAAATGTTGGGACATGGGAAATAATGGGACATTTTGTGAAGATGAACCCCCATGAAATTGGTGAGGAATTTGGGATGTATAATTCGGGTTTATAGGTCTTTGGTGGCTACCAAACCATTGCAAAGCAGCTTGAAATTGTGGATTATTGAACATATTTGGATCAAAAGGGGGAGTATTTGCATTGTATTCAGTTGGGAAATTCATATTTCTTCCATAATTAGGATTATTTGGATCCATTATAGAAGAAAATTTTAAAATTAGAGGAAAGAGAGGAAAAATATGAAAAATTGAAGTGCATAAAAATGGCCAAAATTAGGTTCATTTTATAGAGGAAAAAAAAATAAAGCTGTTGGTGAAATCAGTTTTTTTAAATAAGTTACCGTTTTTTATTAATTACCGTTATAAGATTTTTGTGCTAGTAAAATCATGTAACAAATATAACAAATCAGTGGCTGCTACTTGTCAAGCAATGGAAGGTTGGTTAAAATATATTGTCGTTGCTTGTCTTCGCCACTTTGTTGTTATGTCAGAAGATTAATTTTTTTCCTTTTTTTTAATTTAACAAAACGTCACCGTTTGCATTGTATTTTTGCTTGAAACGCTGTTTTTAGTCATCCTCTTGGCACGGTAGACGAGGTTCACTTTCCTTCAACAGAAGAGGATTCATGAGCAACCTCCTCCCCTCAAGGATCCTCAATAATTCCCAGCATCAAAGAGGATATGTCCACCTAAGCAAAAACCACCTTCAAGAGGATAGATATCCTCTCCAATATTCATGCTCTAAAGGACACTGGAGTAGCAAATCTCCGTTGCAATATACGCATAACTGGTTGTAGAACCGAATTATGTCAAGCGCAATGTCCACCATTGGCCGAGTCTTTTTATTGCGTTAACGACCTTTGCTGTTGTCATGAATAAATAAACTTATGTTAAAATATTAAAAAAAAAATTAATGAATTAAAATTTATGAATGAATGTTTTAACATTCTGTTTAATATATGTGTAATGTGTTGATACCCATTGTGGCCAACTTGTGAGAAATAGGAGAGGTGGTTCCACTTTATAAGGTAAGGTAGAGGAGTAACTCTTTACTATTGTCAATTGATTTTAGTATGGAAGCTCCTAAGCCTTGTATGTGGACCAAACTCTTCTCTTCCTTGTTCGGGTTGCCCAGGCTCATTTCATATTGTTTCAAAATTTAACATGGTATTAGAGCCTAGGGTAGTTGGGTCTTTCATAATTTGAGTATTTGTCAAGCCACTGGTTAAGGGACCTCTATTAGATCTTCATTCCCAAAGAGGACTTATATTAATTGTACCCTATGGTGTGCTGTAATTCTAAGGACAATCACAAGTGAGAGGGAGTGTTGAAACCCATTGTAGCCCACTTGTGAGTGTCCCACATTGGAGAAAGAGGATGTGTGGTTCCATTTTATAAAGTAAAGGAGTAACTTCTACTCTTGCCAAGGGTTGCCCAGGCCTATTTCATATTGTTTTGAAATTCAACAATATGGACTAGGAGAAATTATTTCTAGTGGGTGTGGATAATTTTCCATCCTAAAAGCAAAATTACTTTTGTTTTTTTTTTTTTTTTTTTTGGAGTCACGCGACCTTTTTTTTTATATCTATTCTAAAAAAACGGTCCTTACTACGGAGTAGTTGCTAGAGCGTGAGAATCCCTTGTTTTACTACTCCCTTTTTCATTAGTTTTTTTTTTAGCAGTGCCGTCTTGGACATTTTAGGGGCCCAGAGCGAAATCTTAAAAAAGGCCCCTAAATTAAGAGAATGTATTTCATAAATTTTTATATTATAAAGTTCACCAAAATTATTGATTATAGTTGGTCCTATGAGCCTTTTTTTTAAAAGCAAATTCATCAATCAAACCCTCACAAGCTATATTTCCAATACCTCATTTTTTTTATTTAAAAAAATTGTCAAGAATTTAAACCCAATAAAAAAAATTAATAAAGAAGAGAAATTCAGTAATTAAAGCTAACATAATACGAAGTAGAATTTAGGTAATTAAAGAAAAGAAATAAACTAAAAGAGAAAGTAGAAAAGAAAAAGGAAAATGGAAGCTCACATAAAAGATAAAATGAAAATCTAAAAATACAAAACAAAAAAATAATTAAGCATATAAACCAAACCCTTGCTTTAGTGCTTCTTCATTTCCTCTATTTGAACCCAAAAAAAATCACTTAAGCTAAGTAAGGGTTCGTTTGGCATTGTTGCGGTTTTCAGTTTTTTGGTTTTTTGTATTTTAAAAGTGTATGATATATGTAATGTAATGAATAAAAAAATTAGTCAAACTTATTAAAATCATGCTAATTTTGAAAACTGGCAACAGAAAAGTGAAAACACCTTTTTCTTGTTTCCTGTTTTAGGTTTTTTGTTTTTAAAAAAACTGAAAACTCAAAACAAAAAACAATGCCAAACAAGCCCTAAGTTAATCTTTTGGTTCATCTTTAGATTAAATACTTGTCATTAGTACTATATTTCATAAATTTATCAAAGAATAGTTTTTTTTTTTTAAATAAGATATCAAAAAAAAATGTGGGCCCCACAAAAGGGGGGGCCTCGAGCGATCGCTCAACGAGCTCCCCCTAGGAGCCGGCCCTGTTTTTTAGGGGTCCCTCTTTCATTAGTTAAGGTCTGTGAGAGTTTTAATTAATTATATGGTGGAGTACAATATCAATTTAACAATTATATACTTAAAAAATATAGTATTATTATGTACTTTTATTTATGTTCATTTTTATAACTAAATTACTTAAACAAAAATATACTCCCTCCGTATCGTAATAATTGCAATATTTTCTTTTATATTTGTTTTATAATAATTGTAACACTTTCTTATTTGGTTAGGACACACCTATATTTTATTTTTTCTCTCTCTTACCAACCCCACTTACACTACAACTTTATTATATCTCTCTCTTAACAACAACGAAATATACCCTTACTAAGTTACCTACTATACTTTAAATTATTAAATTCTGAACTTTTTGGCTCATTCCTATATTTTTTCTAAAACTATGTGCAATATCTAGTGTTGCTAGTATTATGAAATGAAAGGAGTATATACATATAAAAATATTTCATTTATGTGAGTATGAAAAAAAAAATTATAATTGTCAAAGTGGAAAGCTATACACACTTTTTTTTATGAAGAATAAAAAAAAAAAGGATAAAGTGGAGGAAAAATTTTCAACTAGTGGATGACATGTGTTATCATGAGTTTCGTTTTAAATACTTTCTATGTTCTTTTTTTTTTTGTCATGAGTAATTTCACGCCTGTCAATACTTTACTTTGCCTACTAATATCTTTAATTGAGCTTTGTAAAAATTATAATAATTTGATATTTGAAATGTAGATTTCAAGACGAATCTAACTAGATCCCGCATGATTACATTTTTCCTTACCAATAAATCACAAATGATGGTCAAAGAACATTATCTGAATAGTATAAAAGTCTTTATGGTGCAATAAAAGAAAAATGGAGGAAGTATATAGTTATTGATAGTCTTTTACTCTTTACATATTGAATGTATTTATATTTTGTAACGATCGATGACTTTCTCAATTAGGGGTGAAAGTTCGTGTTCTATTTGGATTATATATCAAGTTGCATTATTTCAGTTTGGATTTTTGAAACTAAATCCAAATCGAATTTGGTTACAATTTAATCCAATCCAAACCGAAGTAATTTGATTTTGGAAATTATTGAATCCATATAGATTCAAGTTTTGGGCCTAAATTTAGGTCTGATAATTGGACTTATTGATTTGACCTTTGTGCCTAAATTTTGTATGTGATTTCCTGAACAAATGAAGAAATTAAAAAGAAAAGCTTAATAATTGTCATAATTTACAACAAACAGCAGTCCATATATACTACCTCTATTAATTTTTATGTGCAACTTTAGATATTGAGGCTTGATACGGGCCAAATTTAGGAAATATCGTAATAAAATACAATTGTCCAATTAAATTATTTAAATCAATTTACAGACATAAGAAAATACTTAAAACGTAACAACAATCAACATGACAGCTTCAATCAACATATATATAAACAACTACTCAACAACAAATTCTCCAAGCAAAACAATAGCACTTCAAGGCTCCAAGCAAAACAACAAGTCTCCAAGGCATCATCAATCAATCTCAACCAAGTCTGTATAATTTTGACCACCTAAATGCGTCGTTTGAAGCGCGCCTACTTAAGCATGTTGTGATATTCTTGACACTCTTAGAAAGTGAGAATTGACATATACAATTAGGGACAAGCCAACAAGTTTATTTTTAAGGAACTTGTAAATCGTTCATTAATCATTAAAAGACCACAACAATTAAGGGTAACTAAATGCAACAGTGATTTACCTGTGAAGGTTACACCCCATTTATAATCCATGATATTACTAACTCCATATGGTTCGGAACCACAAAAGAGGATCGGGGATGTAACACCCTAGAAATTCCTTCCTTTTAAAATACTTGTTTTGCCCTGTTTAAAACTTTTAAGTAGGAATATCTAAGACATTACCGCCACCGTGATAACGATTAAGGCAACTATCAAAGACACACAGCGGAAGACTAATTTCAAAACATTTCAAACAAACTCAACATTGA